TGCTTTGACTTATTGTCCAAGTAACACCTGGGAAGTGGTTTATTACAGTATCTTGTTTCCAAAAAAAAATCTGCCTCAGGAGTTATCTCTTCTTATAGGAAATAAATGTTCCTTTGGATTCAGTGCTGTAGCTTGCAGGTATATCTTACACAGTGTAACCTGAAAATCCCAAAAGTTTTTGGCACATACCTTGGAACACAGTAGATTTGGAAAAACATTCAGGACACTGGTTTGTGTGCTCAAGCAAGGCACAAGGCCAACGAAGCCCAAACGCATATTTCTTGTAGTACAAAGACAGAAATGGATCCCTCATCAGCAAGGGAAATGTGGTCCTATAAGAAGTGGTCATGTCCAGTCTCAGTCTGTTATCACATATGCTAAAACCAGCAGCAAGATGTTAATGTTGCTCCTCTTTAGAGCAGCAGCAGAGTGCTCTTGACAGTGCTCCCCCAGAGTCACCCTACCCTGCAACTGCCAGATGGTGCTCACATCAAGTGCACAGCCAGCACTAACCTGCTCTTCCCCAACCTATGTGAATCCCTTGAAATGGGAGGCAGAGATTTTCCTTTGTGTCCTACACAGAGGAAAGGAAGAGAATTTCTCTTCTCGGTGGCTTCCAAGTAATTCCTGCAGCAGAAATGGTTGTTCAAAGAGAGTGAAAACTGTTACTTAAAACCTGTTTATCCTGACAAGTCAAATTAGGAGGGAGCAGTGACTTTGGGGAATATTAAGCAGCATTCTTGTACACCAAGTATGTACAGCCTTAGAGAGTCTAATGGACTAATGAGATGGTGAAATCACATATTAAAAAGATCCAAGGCCTGAAAGAGGTTAAAATACATAAAATACAATTAAAATTCTCTGCTTCTGATACACTGAGAAAGGCATAACAATACAAGGGGTATGAGTTGTGGTGAACTCTTATTTCTAGAAAGAAATAAGTATTCAGAAGTAATTTTTTCAAAACTTGATGGATTTCAAAAGATATGAAGAGAAATCTCAGTAAAGCTCAAAATACTGAGCTGATGCATTTCTGTTAAAAAATAATTACTGATTTCACTTTGGCAAAAGTAAGAATTAATTGCCATTTTTTTAGGATAATTTTTGCCACGTAGAAGCAGTTTTAGAAAAAGGTATTTCAAACTTTTATTATTCCCAAATATTATTTAACATAATCTGGTGTTCATGAGTTTTACCATTGGACTGGACCCTAGTGGACTGTAACATGTTTTACCTGACTTTACGCAAATATTTACTACCACAATAAGCTAACGGTAAATTAAAATAATTTATTTCTAATGGATTAACAGTCTTGAGTGTACTGTAATTAAATCAAACAAACAAACAAACAAACGAAAACAAACTAGAAAGTATTCTGTGTCAGTACTACTGCCTGGGAGAAATAAGTTAATTCTCTTGAGCATCTAAACACCTAGAATCACAGAATTTTTATTTTGAATCTATCTATATGAGGCAGAAACGTCAAAATAATGGAGAGCAAAGCATCATATAACTATCAAACTACACTCATTTACCTCAACTAAAAACCTGGCCTAGTAGTGTATATGAATGACTGTATGAACTACTGAATTATGTTATCTGTATAGACAGTTCTGGTCCTGTCCACAATGCTTTCCATTCACTCACAAAATAAAGTGCATTTCTGTATGTAGCCAAAGCTCATAACATGTTTATAAACATGTAATTTTTGGCTCCAGTCTTTTCAAATGAACATTTAGTAGACCAAAAAGTTCCTCAAATAAAAATGCAGGAAAGCAAATAAGAAAGAGACCAAATGCACTTAATGTAAATGTTTGTCATTACTTACCCACATATGCCTAAAGCACCTCTTTTTGCTTAGACTGCACATATGCAAAGTGAAAATGTACATATTTCCCACTCTTTATTTCTGGGCTTTTTGCACGTTAGAAATGTTTTAACTCTGAGACCAATTTAAAAATTTGTTTGTAAATTATTTCTAGTTGCTCCTTCAATTATAATCAATTTTTATCTGTAAAATGCATTCCTCCAACTATCTGCTGTTTTTTCCTCTCCCTCCAGCATAAGGAGGTCCTATTTCCTTTAACATTTTTTCATTTTTTCGCATCCTTGTACTACTGGTTTTCCTTCTCCTGCTGGATCAGTAGTGCCAACATGACTGCTTATGGGACTGCTACATAAATCAGGAAATAGCCAGCTTTGTCACCTAAGGAAATGTAGCATCTAATTGCATCCAATCTGTTTTCCTTTCATGCATGCACATGCATGAATCTACTGAAGTAACAGAGAGATAGGAATCCTATGAAATTATTTTTCATCACTGCCCTCATGTTTCCTCTGTAAGTAGTACAATGGTTGTAATTCTTCAGTCTTCTTTTGCATTAGATTTGTTTTTTCAATACTGTACTGTGACACAATGTCAAGGAAAGAAAATTAATAAAGTTAGTGATGTTTAAATCAAAATCCCTATTGAGAAAGAAAGTTTCTACATGAAACTTGTGCTTTATTCTGCCTTTTCCTAATTTTGACATAGATTTCACAATATTTTTATTCAGAAATTTTTAAATAATAAAAATCAAGTTCAAAATGTCATATATTCAAATTATCTCAATTATTTTTGAAAGAAAATTGGGTTCTGTGTTTGGTATGTGGCAGGTATTATTTTTTTGTATAAAAATCTTTCCTGTCTTTCCTGCTGGTTGATGTTCCTATGTCCAGGTATAGCATATTATCTGACCACGTTTTAAACACACAGTTAGTATAAGTCACTTCAGAGCATGTTATTAGAGCTATTTCTTGCCTCTGGCTGATGTCCCAGAAGAAGATGATAAATCATTTGCTCATGCTAGAGAAGGGAAAAAAAATAAAAATCAATGTTTAAAACTTCCATGGTCAGCTTTACTCAGGACAACTAAACTGTACAGTGACAAAATACTGATGATGTCATCAATAAAGTAAATTAATGCTGTGAACAACTAAGAATTGTGAACTGCCTTGCAGCATGTTGTAGAATATGAAGAAAAGTTTTTGAGAATTAAAGTTGCAAACTCTAGTGGTTTTTGAACTCTGAGAGCAAGGTGAGATTCATCTTTAAAAGCCAGTGTCTGAGTACACAATTAACTTTTTTATAAGCAGAACATCTGAGTAGGCAGCAACAGGATCAAGTCCTGGAATTTTGACTCTTCTACAGCCTACCGGTAAAGAGAAAAAGTTACTGCACTCAGCCACTACAAAAGCAATAATTAGACATAGTTATGTGTATGTGTTAGTTTGAATTCATAGAGCATTTCACATACTTATTAATTTCTAGAACTGGATTTCAGCAAACAAACAAAGACAGACAGATATTTAATTACCACAGCTGTGCTAGTTTCACATTCACATGTAGTATGTAGGGTCTTTAGAAGAAAACAAGATCACATGCTAACCATTAGAGTGACCCATTTTGTAAGTAGCTCCCATGTCAATGGGCAGGGAATGATGCCCTAGACTGATTTCATCTAAATATCCCATCTGCTTTAATACTTGTACCAGGAGTCTGGTCAGCTGTTACTGAAAGCGAAAGGATCTCATAGCTTGACATGTTTACAAAACTTCTGCAGCCCAAGTTAGTCCTGGAGCTAGCTGGGAAGTGTGCTAGTTCTGAGGGGATCCCAGTTCTAGCAGCACACGAGCAAGGTAGTCGCAGAGAGTGAACATTACTTATTGAAGTGCACTTCATCAGCTGCAAAACTGCAGTGTCAGCAACTAATCAGATCAATTTCTTGTCCTTAATTATGTTTGCAGATTCAATGTAGAGGAAAAAAGCATTGTTTTTAATAAAAACTCCAAACTGTAATATCATTACTTGGGGAAATAAAGACAAGGTATAAACTCCAAGGTGAGATTGTTATTTAAAGTAAGATGAACAACTATTATCTGACATACATCTGGGAACAACTGTATCCTGCTAGGGGAGAGTAACTCAGTGACATCTTTCTTAACTCTAGATTTTACAGTGACATTAGCACTCAACCCACTAATCAAAATAAAATATCCCTGGTAAGTTAATAATATCGAATAAAGCAATTAATCACATATATGTTTATTTCACGCAGTAACTGAAAAGCTTTGGATTACTTACTCTACAGAAAAACACATAAAAATTGCGCTGAACAAGCAGTTGATATGTTAAGTATCAAGCATGAGGAAAGTTGCCCCCCAAAGCAGTTTTTAACCCGTGAGGAACATGTGTCTTTGACTCAGGTGAAGGGCTGAAAGTACATCAGGAAATGACAAAGCCAAGATCAAAATCTACTATGGATAAAGTGAAAACACAGACAAAGGTTAGAGGAGGGAGAATGTGATTTTTGTAATCTGCTGCTTAGTTTTAAATGAGAGATATTTTTTTGTTCAGAGTACAGAGTGCATCAGCAGAAGAGGATCACCGTTACATCCTATCCTGGCATTAATCTGACGGATATTGGGAATTTGAGTAGCAAGAGAAACGTGGGTTGCTCTGGCAAAATTCTGACTGCACATGAAAGGAGGAGAGTAAAATGTCTGAAATCAGGAAGCTAAGGGTCTTGATAAAGCTTTGCTAAACTGCTAGTTGTCAGGTTGTGAGCTTTCCAGGTAAAATAGACATCAGAATGACATTCTTGATGTTAAAAAAATTTTACTTCTGAACTAATTTAATTTATTGGAAAGGACGTGAACTATTCAATTCTTTCAAGATTTAATATGAACAGAGGGAAAAAGAGAACTTCTTTTGCACCTAGTTGTTAGACTCTGTCCCAGTCCAAGACCAGATTTGAGGTGATAGGACATATATCAATAAATTAATAAATACAGTCTCTAGAATTTAATTATTGTTCCTCCCTAGATGTCAGGCATATCCTCACAATGGCCCTCACATTTTGGACACTGAAACATAACCTTCCAATAACTTCCAGAGACATCTTTGAAAAATTTTTTTCTTTCCTTGCATGTTTGCAGCCCTTGAGTTTCTCATAGAATATCCTGATGATCTTTTGAAAGGAGTAAGAGTTCACAAATGGAACTATGATGAGAAGATAAAATATTATTTTTCAAAGGTGAGCTGAATAGGAATCAAAAGGACTGAAAAAGATTATTGTAGTTAGAACATTTACCAGAATATAGGTAAATGTATAATATCAATATCTGGGGGTATGTGTGTCTAAATTCTGGATATGGCAAAGACATAATTTTTGTCAAGGCTAGATTAGGAGAATTGCTGTTCAAAAGAGTGGGAAAAATCTGGCTTAGTTTCAGTACTGAAGAATTTTTTAGCAAATTCTTTTAGCAGTTTACATCTGTGTTTTCCTCTTCCTTTTTCTCAGTACATTGGACACCAAAATAGGCCTTTCTGCTCTACTGTAACTAGGGTCAGTCCTTATGAAGGCAGCTGAGTAACTTGCCAAGCTCATTTTCTCTGTTTTTAATAGAAATTACATTATTTTGTCAGTTATACAGTTGCTTAAATGTTATTTGAACTCCAGAGTGGATGATGTCCTGTCCCACTGAATTATTCTGATTTGGTTTGTTCTTCTGCATCTCCTTGTGAGAGTGCTTCAGTTTTCGTTTGGGCAGATATTTGCCCGGTATGCTCCATAAGAAAGCTTCTTCCAAATGAGTAGTTATAGTCCAAACTGCCCTGTTCAGGCTAGAGAACTTATTTCTTTTCTTGCTTATGTATTTCTATGGGCTCAGAAAGCTTCACATGGCAAAGTTTTTTTGTTTGCAAGATAGTTAACACATATCTCACCCTTGGTTTACATCTAGACTCTGTAGGTAAGCTTTCATTGTTAAGTACCTGGTTTTCTTGGGGTATTCTGCAGTCAAGCATGGGATTTCTGGTTGTATGTCAGCATTACCAAAAGCACTCATTTTGTTCAACCTAGTAGAGATCTGGAAATCCTGCACCAATACACAAAAATTGCAGACAGTATTTCTTTGCTGGAAAAGCGAAAAATATGTGAGCCCTATTGAATGAGCTATTCATAAACCCTCATAAGAGGAAGTGAACGCTTCTCTGCTCCCCCAAATTAATTTCAATCCCCAAGTATTCCAAAGATCCACTCTTCAGACCTGAGACCAAGAAAAGAGACATAACCCTCCAAAGCAGATGCGGTAGAGCTCTTTGAGCTGCTACTGATTTCAGCATTGGGGAAATATTGAAAGCTTCATCTGCATAGATTGCATTATATGCAGACACTAAAAATATTGCAAAGACTGTTTGACTTTACCTGACTGAAAGAGTTTTAATATGGTAGCAAGAGGCAGAGAAATGAAGACAGTTTTTTCTTTTTTGGAGACTCCATCTTCTTCCTTGTCTTTTTTTCAGGATGCTGAGGAATTCTGGAAATGAGACTCCCACTCCTTGGTGTTTGGTGACCTGCCACTGGGGTGGGTTTCCCATGATGTGTTACAGTGATTTTTTTCCCTAGAAAGGGACAGGGGAAAATTGGGAACCAGTCAGATGCATACTGAATATCAGAGAAGCCTGGTAATTGAGGAAGAGCTATTTCTGGGGCGAGGGGGAAGTCCACTGTATTCTATGGGTGGAGTTTTTTCCCCACTCCCTTAGTTTTTTCCCCACCCCCTTAGTTTTTCCCAGTAACCTTGACTCTTCATCACTTGCACTAAACCTTTTTAATTCACCCCTCTGTGAACCAACACATCTAGTATTAAATCTGGGCATAGAGCTCATATGAACGAAAGAAGGAGTTGAGTAGAAAAAGATGCAGGGTGATTACCGGTGTGTTTAAAATCAGCTAAATCGGGGGGTCTTTTTTTCTTTAACTTTATAATCCATATCATGATGTGTTTGAAAGAAAGATGTTGCAGGAGGAAGGGGTGGTGTAGCTTCCTTTATGGTACACTGGGACCCAAGCTGTGCTGAGAAGCACTTCTTTTCAACACACCAGTACAGAGGGAAGTAATTTGATGGCTTTGCAAATAAATGCACTTTAATTGTTTCTTATTAGTCAGTTGAATCCCAATTTGCAGTTGCTGAGATGTACCTGTATAGTGACTACGTAAATTCACTTTGTCAACAGTAAGAAAGATGGGTTCTTTCACTGGAAGATTTTTAGTTGTCTGAAGATTTTACAAAAGTTATTACATTATGTAGTGAATAAGTGGAATGAGAAAATCTTGACTTTATGTAATTTACAGAATGAAGTTTGAGTACTGAAGACAACATCTATCAAATTTAAGTCTCCTATATGAAGACAACTCTAGTCTAGCCACATTTATCCTTTTGGTTCATGACTTAAATATGGTTTCAGGAAAAAGAATTAGAATAAATTGAAGTCATAATATTTATTCTTCATTGCAGATCAAACAAAAAATAAACCAAATAAAATAACTATTTTAGCAAGTTACCTTGCTGTTATGAACAAAGTATGTAGCCATGGCTTCAAGACAAAAACAACGAAATATTTTCTGTTAAGGATGTGATTTTTCTCAACAACCGTTTGAAAGGGAATCGCAAAATGAAAGCAACTGAACTTTCCACTTGTGTGGATTATATGGCATGCTAAAATGGATATTTTCGTTGGTGTTAATGGCAAATTAGAAGATCTGGGTTATATCAAAAGTAGTTAATTGAAATAATTGGTTAACATGAGGTCTTACCAGGTGGTAAGCCCTCAAGCATATTGTAGTAGATCGTATTGCTTAAAACTGTTGGGAGAAACAGAAAGAGACTGGAAGCCCATTTTGTTGTAAATGATGTATGAGATCATATAATAACACCCCTGAGAAATAGTAATAATATTGATAAGAGATTTTATCTTTTTGCAAAGAATGTGTAAAAATTAACGAAGTGGGGACTGGGCCATCAGGAATAGGTGCTGTGCTGTTCTGTTCTGTTCCTGCTTTGTTGGATGTCATTCATAACCAGACTTCCAGAAAATTCAGAGTAACTTTTTATGGAGTAATGGTAGTGCTGTGTAACCTGGACTGGTGCTAAGTATTTGTCTTGCCCAATCTGTTTTGTCCTTTCTTAAGTGGTGTGATTTGGTTAATGTTTGAGTAACGGGGGAGAAGGGAGAAGAATCTACTTTGGTGCTAATGGCCTCCAAAACAGATATAAAGCAGAAAAATGTCCTGAATTCCCATAATTTTAATTTCATAGATCCATACTTGAGCTACTTAAGACTACCAGAACATGTCCTGGCAAAACCTTTGTATTTTTCTACTATAAACTAAGCATAAATTCAGTGGTAGATGACAGATTACTTCATATACCATGCAAGCAAGCCTAGACAATAGCTTTAGCCATGACTGATTGCCTTGCTGTAACCCACTTTATGTTAAATGTATTCTTGCTGTTCAATTCCACGACTGTAATTTTGTTCTTCTGCACCGCTCAGCCCTCTGTGGACTAACCAGGTTCCTTCAGTAATGATTTCTTTTCTATTGTATTGTTTTCTGCATAATCAAGTTGGTAGGTAGGGGTTTAGGTGACACAGCCATCTGTCAAGTTCATTTGCTCTGAAAATGCAAGAAATAATGGCCTCTACAACTTGGGGCTATCTGTTATAAAGGAAGAATATCAGCTTTTACTCTGCACCATCTTCTCATCTCTTCAAATTATCATTTTTTCTACTTTTTATATAAAATACATAAGGTTCTCTTGACATGACTGATTGGTGAAAAAGAAAGCTATCACATGTCCACCTTGTATTGCAATTTATGCAAGCAATCCAATTAAGGAGAAGCAGCTAACATCCAAACTAATGTGCCTGTCGTGAAACTAAAGAGACTGCTGCAGACTGCTCTGCTCAAGTGTTATCATTGCTGGTTCTCTGACACACTAACTGCTTTCTCCTTGAAGTTTGCATAATGTGTAAATGTTAAGGGAGTTTGCATGCCACAAAGGAAAGGGAAAACAGTTATTCATTTTCCCTCCTCTAAAATAAAATGCTCATAATAATTCTTATAAGGAGCCTTTATCAAATCGTATCTGCTTGCTGAAATGACATGCACTTGGTAGGAAAAGACATACAAAGCTGCCTGTGCATTCTTAACCTTTTTCAGGCATAGTGGAAACCAGCTGCAATAATCCAGGAATGATCCCAGTTTTCTATGTATATGTGTGAGGAGGGTAGAGTTGCTTATACAGCAGAAAAACCTTTATCCATCATGATGCCAGTAGGACTGGGAACACTTTGGTTGCTCTAGGTCAGAGGTATCTTTACATTAGACCCATCTGCTATTGCCCCTACTAAAATGCAGAATGACAATTGTTTATACTCAGCACAGATCTCAAATGGCCTGGTTAGAAAGAAAACCACTTCCAGATGCCATTATATGGTACAAGTGAAACATGAAATTTTCTACTTCAATGAAAACATAATTATTAAGTGCAATGTCAGACTTTTATCGCACTTTTACTAAACCAATTCCCCCATCATCTGCCTCTTAGGGCCATTGACGTGTGATAAGACTCTCTGCTGGATGAGAGATTCCCTGACAAGGGAACAACTGCTGTTGTTCACAGCAAGTCAAATAATGAACCTGAACAGCAGGTGTAAAAATTGATAAACCCATTAATGAAATTAGTTAGCATTTTTAGCCACCTACTGAATATTTCCAAAATATTAAATCAAAAAAATTGCAAAGGAACTATTCAGCATTATATTTCTGCCCCATGGTGCTGAATTTGATGTCCATTGTATCAGTGTTGTGTAATGCATTTAATGCAAAATTGAAAATAGTTCTTCAATCTTGTCCCTGGAACTCTCTGAACTGTGCTCTGATTGTCATTGTCATTGTCACAGAAGTTAGGCATGAAAAGTCATGCTGATCCCACAAAAAATTAATTGTTCTACCCAAGCTTGCCTCTGCTGCAAATTTCACATGCTTTTTCATCAAAGAATAATATTTTTCTGGTCCAGATAACCATACAGTTTCTCTTTAGGGTCGTATTTTAAGCATTTCAGAGCTTCATGAATCTTGAACTGTACACACTGCGTAGTGTATTTATAATCAATTGCAGATGTGATTTTGAAAGTGGAGTTTAATGTGATCGACTTAATCTGTTGAAATCTGGCCTAGATACATGTTGCTATTTTGAATTTTCAGGAAAATGCCTTTTTGCACCTGAGACCAGCCACGGTGCATCAGATATGTTGGTGTTTTTCTAGAAATGATTACCACTGGCTAAGCAAAAAGACAGGTACCTGACTTAGTGCCATGCTTTGTTACTGAGTTCTGGATTTTGAGGTATAATCTCACAGAATATGAGGGAGTCACAAGTTAGTTCACAGGTGGAAGTGAATGTTCTCTATTTCAGTGTTAAATGAATGGGAATCAAAAAGTATCAGCACCACAAGACAAGTACGTGTGTCTCAAATCTCCCATGAGTTCTTTTTGTTTGCCACATACATGTAAAATTTTAAAGGTGGCTGCTTACACTATTTATAGAGTGGATAATATCACATTATTCCCATTGATCAGAATTTCTAGTTGAAGATGTCTTCTCAAAATTTACAATTTATGCTTCATATATTTTGAGAAAAACAACATGTGAGTGATTTGACACGTCTAAAATTAAAATTATAATTATATGAAAAATATTATCCTCATCTTTATTTAGTGAACCATGAAACACACACATACACACAGAAACACACACACACTTTCCATCTAACAGGGTTATACTCAGTCTAATTCAAACTAGCAATAAACAGGTGCACCTCCTGTCAGAATTTCTTTTGTCTTGGTTATTAAAAAAATCTTAAAAATAGAGGAAATAGACCTGGACTTAAGAAGATGTGAACTAGATTTGGGCTAAAACTGGTAAAGAAAAATTAAATCAAATGTTAAAATACTGCAAAGAAGCTTGCAATGGCTGCAGAACAAATACCATTTACATAGACAATGTGCTGTGCTGCTCGCACTAAATTGACTGGCAGATAAGTTTGCAGAGGGGATTTTTAAGAAACATGAACAGCTAGTTGAAAGAGCAATAATTGAAAGACAATGTCTAATTCTGGATTAGTTATCTGGGAATTATTTCTTTAGGAATACTTGGTAGAGTTCTATGCTGCAGAAAACATGATGCCCAAGAATCAGCAAGCAGCTGAGGATCAGTATTCACACCATCATCACCTTGCCTTCAGTTGCTCTGGTAGCTACACTGGCAGGGTCAGGTGAAAGGAGTGGAAATAGGACCAGCAATTTCGAGTGCTGTTGTGAAACAATAGGGAGGCAGACCTACACACATGGATGCAGACTGTCCAGAAACACTGGATACTTTTCACTCTCTGTGAAGACAATCTTTTTCTTTAGCTCAGTGAACACAAAACTTGGCTGGCCTGTTCGGGTTATTTGGTTTTTTTACAGGTAAAATCGCACACTTAATCTCAGACTGTTACATTTTAGAGTGTAAGGTGAGCTTTGCTGAAAATCACAGATGTGGGCTTTGGCTTTTTACATTAAATAATTCTGAAACCTTTTCTCCCTGTTAAATGCAGAATTCAATTTAGTCATACATATGATAAAAGTATAGGATATGCCTTCAGACTGAGGAACCACACTGCAGGAAAAACAGCATTCAGAATTTTATGACTTAAAATTGTTTATTCTGCTATTAATACTTCATTTGGATTTCAGTACACCATCATTTTCTGAGTATAAATTGAGATAAAAAATTGAGATAACTAGTTTATTGCATGTTAGCAAAAGATTTTACTGTGATAGGTACCCCAAAACTGAGGAACAGAAAATTCACAAAATGTAAGGCATTTTAAAGGTATGGGATTTCTGAGAAAGTGCCGAGATTCTACCTGAAAACAGATTTTTCTGTGCTTTTTAGTTGAGCATGTGCAGTCACTTGTTCCTTCTGATACTACTGGTTGCATAGTGTATTTATCTGCAAACTCCAGATTAAATCTACACAGTTATTAAAATTACATATTGTATATATCCCTAGTACATAGAACAGATCCCCAAATTCAAGTTCTGATAATTAGGACTACAATTCTAGAGAAGTTTTAACCTAGGTATAATTCAAAAGGCTATGATAACTACATTCTGTAGCCACCGTCTGCTATCAGATTTAAGGTACCATAAGTTCCTAACATCTATTTTCTTTTTAGATAGAATACATGCCTTTTTCTCGTCAATATCTAAGAACTTTCAGCAAATGCAACTTGAAATATTTAATACAAACCTGACATCTAAAGTGTATGCTGACCAGTGCATACAAATATTTTCCTGGGACCTCAGAAAGTAATT